CAGACAACGGCGATGAAGGTCCGCGATGCCCTGAGGCGCCGGGGGCCATAGGCCGTGTTGGTGGCCACCCCGATGGCAGCCCCCAGCAGCACGCAGCTGCGGTAGAGGCAGCCCCCCCAGATGTCCAGCAGCGAGTTAAAGATGTTGAAGTGCCGCAGGTCCTGCAGGACATCCCGGCCACCCCGGCCATGGGTGTAGAGCAGCGTGGTGACCACCACATCGGTCCCGCTGAGTGCCAGCGTGCTGGCCACTGCCTTCCAGGCACGCATCCTCGCTGCCGGGCTGGAGGGTCACCGAGGCGGTGGGGGGCAGCCCTAGCACGGAGAGAACATGGTCATGTCGGCCTCTGCTGTGGGGTAAAAAGAAGGGGATGGGATTGTTATTTGTCCTGGTGAGGTGGCAGGGAAAGGGAAGGTGGCCAGCTCCCCAGCAGCCTCTCCGGACCTCAGACACCTCTACTTACTCCTTCCTCCCCTCCCTGCTCCATATTTCATAAAACGAGAAGCACAGATGAAGACAAACTTCCCTCCCAGATGCCTCTGCCCATCCTGAATCCCAAAGCAGAAACCTGCACATCTCAGTGGGAATCTTTGTCCCCAGCAGCCGGATGATGCTGGGACATCCGCGCAGCCCACGTGTCCTGCACTATGGAGCCGTGTAGGTGTCAAACTCGGGCATTCATGATCCAAGAGTCCTCCCCACCTTTCCCAGGATAAAGCTGAAGCAGAGCACTCAAAACTGTACAAAAGCAGGAGAGCGAGACATCCCCTTCGTCAAAACAAGGTAATTTATAGGAACAGCAGCCTGTCAGGTGTTGCTGTCCTGAACCCCCTCGGATATTAATTCGGGATAACCCACTAAACCTGCCGTGCAATTCAGCGACACCACAAAAATCCCAAGAGGAAATCAGAAGGGGGCTGGAAATCCACAGCTGTGTCCCGTGGGAGCGGGAAGATCCAGAGTGGGATGCCATGGGTCCGAGCAGCGGCAGCAGCGGTGGGGCCGGATCCCAACTGCCACCGCAAAGGGCCGAAAGCCGCTCACCTGCTCCTGCGCCGTGCCCAGAGGCGGTACCGGATCCTGGGATTTGTGCTGGCCCAGCAGCTCGGGAGGGCGCAGGCTGCGGGGACAGGGCACGGAGGATGCCCCGCAGCCGCCTCC